ATGTACCCAAACATGGTTCAAAGCTTCCCAATTCCTGATGCTCCTCAAATTAAGACCCTAGGGAGAGACCACCAAGATTTAAGCCTGGGTACACATGCCTAAGCAGGCTGCAAGCCCTCTGCCTAATGTAGGTGCTCAGTAAATACATATGAAGTTATCTCTGCCAGGAATCTTTAACCCAGGCAGCAAGAGGAAGCTGGGAGCGTACAGCTACTGGACGAGTTTTCTATTCCCCCTTCGGCTTCACGCCAGTTCTGGTCCTTGGTGGCTGGCAGGGGTTAACAGTACCACACCTAACACAGACACACACACAAGGTGTGATAACCGCCCTGGTCTCTTTTTTAAAAATGCCATTGGCCAGCTGAAGCTTTGCAAATGGAGCTCCGCAACCAAATCCCGTGGGCTGCAGCAAGAAAATAGACTAAAAAACAACAACAACTAAGAATGGTGGGCTCTGGCCAGGCCTCCCACAGCCATACGCAAAGAAACACAGGCTGAAAATTCCAAGACTGGGTCACTAAGGCATTTGTCTCTGCTGAGTTTCGAGAGGCCAAACCACACACACACTTTTTAGTAGAGACAGGGTTTCTCCATGTTGGTCAGGCTGGTCTTGAACTCCCAACCTCAGGTGATCTGCCCGCCTCGGCCTCCCAAAGTGCTGGGATTACAGGCGTGAGCCACCACGCCCGGCTATATGTGTGCTTTCTAATACAGTAGCCACTACCCACATTTGGCTTTGGGTACATAAAATGTGGCTAGTGTGACTAAGGAACTGACTTTTTAAAATGTTACTTAAATTTAAATTGCTGCATATACTTAGTGGCTACCATATTGGATAGCATGCAGTCTTTTAATCAAGGGGATCCAATCTGTAAGTCTATGTGTAAAGATAGTGGTCGGAGCTTCAGGCACCTCAGAGTCTCCCATGTTGGAAAATATCTGTAGTCTTCTCCCATCAGGCTTCTTTTATTCAGCATTAAGTTAGTTATTGTATAAATCTGCTATTTGCCTGGAGTAAAGACTTATTTTTGGTAAGATGGAGTATAGTGGCTTCAGGTGATGCCTACAAGAGATGAGATCCAGGCAAGTGAGTGAGGGAACAGAAGTAGTTGTATTTCTAGGGAAAGAATGAATGGTATGGACCTAACAAAGGATAGGCGAATAAGGCCTCTCAGGCCTGGGTATAGACAGGTAAGAAAATCCAAGGCGGTGCTTAGGACAGACTGATAGGGATGAGGCTTTCCTTGGGTGAAGGGTGTATTGGAAAGAAGAAAGATACAGATGAATAATATTTCCTTTTCAATTTTGTTCTGACCTGTACTGGAGACAGCTTTACTTTTCAACAGATGAGAAACTTACGGCAAAGACTGTATCTATTTAACCCTGAAATGCCAAAGTATGTAGTTCTAAAATAATCCCTAACCACATCTAAACATGAAAATGTCGGCCAGGCGCGGTGGCTCAAGCCTGTAATCCCAGCACTTTGGGAGGCCGAGACGGGTGGATCACAAGGTCAGGAGATCGAGACCATCCTGGCCAACATGGTGAAACCCTGTCTCTACTAAAAATACAAAAATTAGCCGCCGGGCGAGGTGGTGGGCGCCTGTAGTCCCAGCTACTTGGGAGGCTGAGGCCGGAGAATGGCGTGAACCTGGGAGGCGGAGCTTGCAGTGAGCTGAGATTTGGCCACTGCACTCCAGCCTGGGCAACAGAGCGAGACTCCGTCTCAAAAAAAAAAAAAAAAAAGAAAATGTCTCTGTCACTGAATAGTCACTATATTTTGGAATCTTGATTATAGCCTTGAACACCAAGCTCATATTCTCCAAGAATTATTCCTTAAGTAAGCTAGTGAGTTTTGATCTCTTTTTTCCTGACACTTATACCTGTAATAATCTATATCATATTAGCTTATCCTTCATTATGTGCCATGTGGAATTATCATCTGCACAGGCTTGAGCTCTCAGAATTTACAAAAGGTAGAAAGACCTTGTGTCAGGCTTTCCCGCCTTTAGTAGGTACTTTGGACCTACTAATAGGTTCTATGTATTTGAACACATTGGCTGATTATTGTGGTGTGAAAAGGACTTTCTCATTTTTTGAGATCATCTTCTAAAAAATAGTTTTCTTTCTACCTTACTCCAACCAATATTCTCTCCTGAAAGTATCACATATCTTCTCAATAGGCATCATTTTCCCTGAATGATGAGAAAAGCTGATGGACCTAACAAAGGATAGGTTTATTTTAGTCACTGAGAAAAAATATATGTAAATTTTCCCTGGACCCTGATAAAAATCTTAGAAGTTGTTCAACAGCATTAGTGGGAAAAGATGCCATGAGATTAATCTGGCAGCAGTCATCCATTTAACAACATGTTGACACTGTCCAAGGCATTGGGTGCAACAGTAGAAGAAAAAGGAGTGAACATCAGTCCCTGCCCTCATGAAGCTTTCAGTCTTATGAATACCAGTGCCGGATGGACTGGAGGCTTTAAAGACTAGAGGCAGGGAAACTGGCTGTGATCTAATCAAACATCCTCAATTCTTTATCTTGTTAGCATTTAGCTTTGCCTGCCTTTTGATGACCTGCATTTTACATGTTTCCCCAACTACCACCTTCTACTACCATCAACACATGTACCTTCCCTTCTCAGCTCTCTTTATTCTTTGTGCTTCCATTGTCTTTTGATCATATTGCATGGCCATATTTGGGCTATTAGAACCACATATTTTCTACCCTCCTTCCCCCCAGTTAAATTCTTCCATTTCTTCTATAACAATTTTCTTCCTCATAGCAAAAGAACAAAGAAGACATTTGCTTTCTTGATATTTTTCAGACTGGGAGTCTTGGTGTGAAATCAAGGAATTATCTCCAAAATGGTTCATTGATGAAGATGAAATATCCCAGGAGATGATAATGGAAAGGCTAACAAGTCATGGCCTTGAATGCTCCAGTTTCAGAGAAGCCTGGAAATGTAAGGGTGAATTTGAGCTACATGAGGGAAATGTGGAGAGGCATTTCATGCAAGTGACAGCTGTTAAGGAAATCTCTACTGGGAAAAGACACAATGAATTTAGTAATTTTGGGAGAAGCATACCCCGGAAATCAGTATTTTTAACACAACAGAAAGTTCCTACCATAGAGCAAGTACATAAATTTGATATTTATGATAAACTCTTCCCCCAAAATTCAGTCATAATTGAATATAAAAGACTCCGTGCTGAGAAGGAATCTTTGATAGGTAATGAATGTGAAGAATTCAACCAGAGTACATACTTTAGTAAAGATACAGGAATTCCTCTTGGTGAGAAACCTTATGAAAGTAATGATTTTTCAAATCTCTTAAGTTTCCACTCATTACTTGCTCAACATCAGACAACTCATTTTGGAAAATTACCCCATGGATACAGTGAATGTGGTGATGCCTTTAGCTGTTACTCATTCTTTACTCAACCTCAGAGAATTCACAGTGGAGAGAAACCATACGCATGCAATGACTGTGGAAAAGCCTTTAGCCATGGCTTCTTTCTCAGTGAACATCAAAGGACTCATATTGGGGAGAAGCCTTATGAATGTAAGGAATGTAACAAAGCCTTCAGACAGAGTGCTCACCTTGCTCAACACCAGAGGATCCACACTGGAGAGAAACCGTTTGCATGCAATGAATGTGGGAAGGCCTTTAGCCGTTATGCCTTCCTTGTTGAACATCAGAGAATTCACACAGGTGAGAAACCATATGAATGTAAAGAATGTAACAAAGCCTTCAGACAGAGTGCTCACCTTAATCAACATCAGAGGATTCACACGGGAGAGAAACCCTACGAATGTAATCAGTGTGGAAAAGCCTTCAGCAGACGCATAGCCCTTACTCTGCATCAAAGAATTCACACAGGAGAGAAACCCTTCAAATGTAGTGAATGTGGGAAGACCTTTGGCTATCGCTCACACCTGAATCAACATCAGAGAATTCATACCGGAGAAAAGCCCTATGAGTGCATCAAATGTGGGAAGTTTTTTAGGACTGACTCACAACTTAATCGACATCATAGAATTCACACTGGAGAGAGACCATTTGAATGCAGTAAATGTGGGAAAGCCTTCAGTGATGCTTTAGTTCTAATTCACCATAAGAGAAGTCATGCAGGAGAGAAACCCTATGAATGTAACAAATGTGGGAAGGCCTTCAGTTGTGGCTCATATCTTAATCAACATCAAAGAATTCATACTGGAGAGAAACCCTATGAATGTAATGAATGTGGGAAGGCTTTTCATCAGATCTTGTCCCTAAGACTACACCAGAGAATTCACGCTGGAGAAAAACCTTATAAATGTAATGAATGTGGGAATAATTTTAGCTGTGTCTCAGCCCTTAGACGACATCAAAGAATTCATAATAGAGAAACGCTCTGATTATAACAAGTATAGGAAAGAAAACATTTGGTTACCACTCAGTCCTTATTGAATATTAGTGAGTTCTTCTTGGTTAGTAATTCTTTGAATGTAGTTCATATTTCAGTTCATGAGTATCCATTATTTGAAGTAGCTCAGTAGTAGACATCTGTTACTTTTTTTTTTTTTTTTTTTTTTTTTTTTAGACAGAGCCTCGCTCTGTTGCCCAGGCTGGAGTGCAGTGGTGCAGTCTTGGCTCACTGCAGCCTCTGCCTCCTGGGCTCAAGCAATCCTCCTGCCTCAGCCTCCTGAGTAGCTGGGATTACAGGTGCCTGTGACCATGCCTGGCTAATTTTTGTATTTTTAGTAGAGACAGGGTTTCACCATATTGGTCAGGCTGGTCTCGAACTCCTGACTTCAGGTGATCCGCCTCCCAAAGTGCTGGGATTATAGGTGTGAGCCACCATGCCCGGCCACATCTGTTACTTTTTGATCTGTTCTGTACCTGGCTTACCCCACCCTCAATGCATATGATTCTGGTGAAACTGTTAATTAGGGACAGTAGTGGATTGGTCACAGGCTGGTCAATTATTTCCCCCAACCTAGTGATAAGGGATTGGCAAATGGCCCTGTCTGGATCAATGAAGTCCTTTGCGAGTATTCCTATGGGTAGTAAGAGATTTTTTTCTGGAATTGCAAGTTTCAAGGATTTAATAAGATTAAAAACTCAGGCCGGGCGCGGTGGCTCAAGCCTGTAATCCCAGCACTTTGGGAGGCCGAGACGGGTGGATCACAAGGTCAGGAGATCGAGACCATCCTGGCTAGCACGGTGAAACCCCGTCTCTACTAAAAAATACAAAAAACTAGCTGGGCGAGGTGGCGGGCGCCTGTAGTCCCAGCTACTCGGGAGGCTGAGGCAGGAGAATGGCGTAAACCTGGGAGGCGGAGCTTGCAGTGAGCTGAGATCCGGCCACTGCACTCCCGCCTGGGCGACAGAGCGAGACTCCGTCTCAAAAAAAAAAAAAAAAGAAAAGAAAAAAGATTAAAAACTCACCAGGAGCCTTTTTGCCACTCATGAGGAAAGCTTTCCCAAAGAGAAATCTAACAGAGGAAAATGGAGACGAGAGACAGAAATCTGATGATATTGTTTGATCTCCTGGATCCAGTCATTCCTGACAGCTACACCATCCTTTTTCATTTTTTGTGATCCAATAAATTTCCTTTTATTTATTTTTTCTTAATTTGGATTAGATTTTTGCCTCATGGAATTAGAGTGCTGATTCACACATTCTATGTTTGCTATACATAAGAGAAAGCCTTAATTTTTTTCGTGACATAATTATTTATACTGAGGAGAAACCTTATGATATAACAAGTTTATCAAAGTTGAATACACAGCCTTCATAAAACTGAGATAATTGTTACATTTTATTTGTCGATAAAATTATTTTAGTGTTTCTTAGTTTTTTTCACAATATGAATATTTTAAAATTCACCAAGTAAAATTCTTTAACAGGCTTCCCCTTAAGGAGTTGAAATCATTTGTCACAGTGACTCACCATGTACCTGTAAAGAGAGAATGGAAAGCTAAGGGAATAATGGTTTCATTTGTTTAATGAATGACTCTTCATCTTCAAGGAATTACTTGATTTTCTTCTTTCAGTATGGGTCTAAACATATTCTGTGGCAGAATATAATAAAATTAAATTGTAAATGAGGTCTTTTGAGGGTGGGCTGAAAATTTGGTTTAAGGCTGGGTGCGGTGGCTCACGCCTGTAATCCTGGCACTTTGGGAGGCCGAGGCGGGTAGATCACCTGAGTTGGAAATTTGAGACCAGCCTGACCAACATGGAGAAATCCCGTCTCTACTAAAAATACAAAATTAGCCGGGTATGGTGGCGCATGCCTGTAATCCCAGCTACTTGGGAGGGTGAGGCAGGAGAATCGCTTGAACTCGGGAGGTGGAGGTTGTAGTAAGCCAAGAGCGTGCCATTGTACTCCAGCCTGGGCAACAAGAGCAAAACTCCTTCTCTAAATAAATAAGTAAATAAATTTGGTTTAAGAAGTTTATGGATAACTTCTTTGCAGCTAGAGATATCAGACAAAGATATGGCTGGCAGAAAGAATGAGTCATTTTTAACAAATGGTAAAACTAAAGCAGTTAATGCCTAAAATTTTTAGAGACTAAATCATTTCCATTATTGAGAGTAATGAGGAAGATGAAAGTGTGGGGCAATACATTTCTTTTTTATCTGAATGGATGTAGGGAAATAAACTGGTGCTTTGGCAGCTGGGCCATCTTGAACAGTCAGAACCAGTAAGAATACTGGGCATTGCCTGAAGAGCATCTATAAAAACAGAACAAATGAAAGAGGAAAGAATGAAGGATTTATATGTGAAACAGTGAAACAGTGACTACTACTCTCATAATTTGTTTAATATTCAGTTTATACTTACATCTAATACAATCTGAAAATTATTTTTCATAAATATTCAAATTCCCTTTAACCGATTAAAATACAGATTTCGTGACTCAATACTTCAAACCTTGAACAGAAACAAATATGATTATAAAATATTTCCAAACTTATGTTACATCTAATCTGAAATATATTAATAGGCTTAATTCATGTCATCATTTCTTTATTTTTTAAAACTATTTCCTGGAGATATAGGGATATTTATTTTTATAATTTCCAAGCACTGAGTAAGAATTTATTTCAGAAAGTTTCACAAGGTTACAGTAAACTTACCAAGCTTGAAGAATGACTCAGACCAGTAAGAAGAGTCTGAGTTACTCACTAATTGATTTTTTTTTTTTTTTTTTTTTGAGACAAGTTCTCACTCTGTTACCCAGGCTGGAATGCGGTGACAAAATCATGGCTCACTGCAGCCTTAACTTCCTGGGTTCAAGCGACCCTCCCACCTCAGCCTCCTGAGTAGCTGGGACTAGAGGTGTGCTCTACCACACCTGGCTAAGTTTTGCATTTTTTTGTAGAGATGGGGTTTCACCAGTTGCTCAGGCTGGTCTCGAACTCCTGGCCTGAAGTGATTTGCCCATCTCAGCCTCCCAAAGTGCTGAGAATATAGGGATGAGCCACTGTGCACAGCTATTAATTGATATTTGATCTAAGTTTGGCACCTGATTTCATCCTCCAGAGTGATGTAAACCTAAGCCACTGGTTCATTCTCTGTTTATATAGTTAAACTTCACTTGTAATGTTGATAAAATCTTTTATACCCATGTCTTTAGCATAAGTGTTTGCATTTTACAATCTGATGTTTCTCCTCACAATGAGGTACTAAATTTTGTTTCTGTTCAACTGTACAACCCATTGTCTTGTGATATATTGACCTGATCTCTTAGGATTAGTGAAAATTTATGCTTTATTAATATTTGATTATTATTGGGATCATCTAGAGGTTTCTGTTTATGTGTGTGTATGTGCATCTGAAGATGTGTATTTTATTTAAATTTTTTGTATTAAGTGCCTACTGTGTGCCAGGCTTTGTTCTAATCTAAGCAACAGAGATACAGCAGTGAACCAAACAGACAAAAATTCCTGCCTTCAGAGAGCTAATTTCTAATGAGGAAGACAAAGAAAAAGATATGTAAGTAAAATATATAATAGGTAAGAAAGTAAATTCCAAGGCGAAAAAGGTGAAGGAAGGGATGGGGAGCCAGGGAAGGCCTCTTCTGAAGTTAACTTTTGAGTGAAGAGAGAGAGATCTATCTATCTATCTATGTATCTATGTATCTATCTATCTACCTACCTACCTACCTACTCATCCATCCATCTATCCAAACTACATATATATGCCCACCTATAGACACATTTATATGCCTTTATAACTAATGGGAAGGAAATCTTTAGTGGTATATATACATTTACACTTTATACTTACTAATTTATTCTCATTTTATCATGTCTACATATTTATGTGTTACATTTTAACACTTGACTCAGATGAATTTATGGCCTTTTAAGATCTAAACAAATTTCACTTAATTATAGTGTATTTAATGTTGATGCTTAATTGTCAGAATTTAGCCACTGGGGATTACTTTAAGAAAACCCCTTGCTCCCTCCAGTTCTTGAATTTTGGACAAAATTGCTGCCATTATGATTGAGCCCCTTTTAGAGATCGCTGGGGGAAAAAAATGTTTCCTTTTTAGAACATGGTTTCATGCTAATTTCTAGTTCTGTCTCAATATATTTTGTTATACACTACTAAGATTTTCAACTTTATTCACAAAACTCGAGATAGGGAGGTAATAGATTGGCTGGTGGAGAAAAGTAGATTGCTGGAAGCCATGAGGTGGCGATACTTCACTAACAGAGGAATAAGTCACCTTCCTGGACAGCTTTCTTAGGCATTTACACCGTAATTCCTCACATATTCTTCGAGAAAGAGTAGTGAAAGGATCAGCTCTTTGGATATTGGGACAAGTAGGGACTTTGGAGTTAGACCTACATATGGATGTCAACTCTTTGTCAGGAGATCTCGAATAAGTGATTCAGGCTCAGTTTAGTCATCTGTAACGCTGGAATAATAATTCTAGCCTTTTGATTTTTTGTGAGGATTAATTAAAAGAATGTAATTTGTAAACAGTTAACAATGGGGTTATTATTAATGATAAAATCAATCACAAGGAGTTGGACTGTGTCCCTGAAAGCCAGCTACTCATGGGGGACGGAATTGTGAATTCAGCCCACGTCCTGCCTCTACATACATGGGTTGAGTCCCAAACAGCAGTGGCCCCAGCCCATCTTTCTGATCCTGGAGTGGTAGCTGCAGCTCCAGAGTCTCTTAAGAGCTCCCTCTGGATATATATGTTTGTTTTTTTTTTCAAGATGGAGTTTTGCTCTTGTTGCCCAGGCTGGAGTGCAATGGCACAATCTCGGCTCACTGTAACCTCTGCCTCCTGGGTTCAAGTGATTTTCCTGCCTCAGCCTCCCGAGTAGCTGGGATTACAGGCACCTGCTACCACACCCGGCTAATTTTTTGTCTGTGTGTTTTTAGTAGAGACAAGTTTTCACCATGTTGGCCAGGCTGGTCTTGAACTCCTGACCTCAGGTGATCCGCCAGCCTCGGCCTCCCAAAGTGCTGGGATTATAGATGTGAGCCACCATGCCCGGCCTTGATATTTGAGACTGTTAGGACTCTGACTTTTTTTTTTTTTTTTTGAGTCAGAGTCTCGCTCTGTCTCCCAGGCTGGAGTGCAGTGGTGCGATCTCGGCTCACTGCAACCTCCACCTCCTGGATTCAAGCGATTCTCCTGCCTCAGCCTCCCGAATAGCTGGGATTACAATCACTGCCACCATGCCCGGCTAATTTT